TAAAAAAAATAATTTTTACATCGCTTTTACGAGAAACTAGTTCAAAAAGCGCTTACGAGAATGGCCATCCAATTCATGTTAACACACTGCGCAAGTCCCCTGAGGACAGTTTTCTGCTCCCTCAGGAGCAACAAATCATCGTCCTCGTAGACAGCAGAATTACTACGATCCAATATTTCGTCCCCCAAGAAGAGCTTGTCTTTTATCAGGTGAAATGGATACTCTGGATCGGGCAAAGGGCAATCGTTCTGAGAGAATATCCTGTTATATATCTCAATTACCTGTAATTTAGAAAAACTCCAGGTTAAAGTGGGTCGAAATAAATTTCATTTTAAATAATATAACGTTTACGAAATTTATATGAATACATATCTACTTATGTATTGAAAAAGATTGAACATTTGATAAACTCATAACACGTTAATTTAATTATAAATTGGAAGAAAATGTTAACTGAATAATAATTGTTATATTTAAGATATTTGATGGAACACTGACAATGAGAGATGCTTGTAAAATATGCAGATTTAAATTTGCAAATATTAATTGTTAATTTATTTAATTATATTAGTAATATTCAAGTTAAATTGTAAAAGAAAAATTGAAAGTTTTATATAATTAATATTCGTAATATATTACATATTGGAAGTATCAACTTATTAAATCTTACATTCTTTTTATCTTCATTTGTCCTCATTCTGTCGACATAAATAAGTTGAGCACCATTTCCAGAATTAAAAACCTTCTTTGAACTCTGTCTAAAAGCCGCCATAGTTATTTCGCACCACCTGGTAACATCTCTAAGGTTCATCTCCCATGGTGATCCTGAATGGCCCCATGTAGTCCCAACTTGAAAGCTTAGTTCTTCATTAAACTCAATCATTTTATCCAGTAAATCCTCCGGTAATTCCGGAAATTGAACATTTAAAATGAATTTTAAATCTCTCTGCTCAAGAGCATCCACGAAAACCTACATAGAAAAAATGCAAATTAAAACTTCTAATAAATGCTGCTGTACTACATATCTTGATGTTTTATTAATTAAAAGACCATTGTGATTGTGCATAATTTAAAATTAATTTGTATAAAAATTCAGAATTCATTATTATTACTCAATTTAAAGTCTTCTGAGTTGAAAAATTCAAAAGTTGAAAAATTTCAAAAGACAGAAAGATTTTTCATTTTTTTAAAGAATCGATATTCAATCAATATTCGATCTTTTCACCTTAGTACTATTTATCAGCGTCTAATATTTCTCCACTTTCAAACATAAATAATATACCAGTCAAATCTTAATCCCTTAAAATTACGAAACCTTGAAAATCTAGAGCTATTGCTACTAACGTAAATTACAATTTTCTTTAACAGAATTTTCAAAATGTATTCTTTACCTGCGTAAAACGGTTCAGAAATGACTTTGGAAGACCTCTTCTAGCTCCACCTTGACGAAGAGGATTTTGACAAGCAAATAATCGAGTTCCCGGTTTCACGCTAAATGTCATTGCTAACTCGGGAATGTAGATTTCTCCACGATGATCAAGACAGGCGTTTAATCCTTCGAGAACTGATTGCGACGCAAGATTTAATTCGTCAAGAAGAATCCAATCTCCATTTTTTAGTGCTCTTAAGAAAGGACCATCCCTCCATGAAAATTCTCCTGGTTTCCCTCCTTCCAAAGCAATAAACACAAAATTACAACTTGCTTCTTTCTTCTTGAATACATATTTCTAAAGGTTTATAATATTGTTGTAGTACATTAAAATAATAAGTAGTTATTGCATAATTTTAGTTGTAATATTAATACATAAATAACTTTTAATAATTTTATTTTTCGCAAGAGAAATACGTACTGTTTGATCGCTTAGATTTAATCTAAGAAGACGATGACCTGATGATTTTGCAAGCGCGGCAACTAAACTAGTTTTTCCAACTCCTGGACTACCTTCCAATAAAATCGGTTTGTTTAACTGCAAAGCTCGTAAGACTTTCAGAGTATTCATCCTAGTTGTTGGACTTGCGAAAGCAAATCCCACGTTACTTGGAATTTGTTCATCTCCTTTCTTCACGTAAAATGGACGTATCCCAAATTTATCTTCTAGATTTTCAATATCAAATTCTTCGCAATTCAATATTAGCTCAGATTTCAGTGTAGTCTGTACTTGCTGTTTGATGAACTTCAATGCTGAATCCTTAAAACTCTTTAATTTCTTTGAACTAAACAAAGAGTTAAAATATTTTGTTAAAGCTTTCATCAGTATAATTAATCTATGTGCAATATGATTGATTATACATAATAAACTTTTATTAAAATTTATTTACTCCAAGATTTTAAATACGATTTCTATACAAAACAATCTAATGAATGATATTTAAAAAAACAAATTATTAATAATTCTAATTCTTTGAGATTATTTTGACTATCAATTTTATCCTAAATTTCACACATATATTCTCTACATTTTAACAATCTGTAATATTTTATTTAAAATGTATCATAAGACAAGGGTAAATTACTTACTTTTCTGCAGCAGTTAAACCAGATCCAAGTCCATCAATATAGCTTAAAGCTGCACCATGAAAGAAAGCATCCCCTATTTCTAAATCTTTGCAACAGTTAACAAAATTCACCCATGTAAGTATATCTCTGACACTAACAACCAGTTTTTTTCCTATTTCTGTTGTTTGTAGCCATTTAAGGAACTCTATTACCGCCGTAGACACACTTTCCTTATATTCTTGATGTAAGTTATGCACCATAATACACTTGAGATCGTCTAATGAAACGCAACCTTCGCACCAAATTTCAGTAAATCTATTTCTAAGGGCTGGTGAAAGTTCTTTTTTGCCATAATCACCACCAGGATTCATTGTGCCAACAAAGATAAAATCTTCGGAAGCAGTGACAGTTTCATTTTCCTCGGTCGATGTTTTTTCAGCAATTAAAAGCTTACGCTCAGGTTCTGAAAAGAATAACACAAATTTATGAGCGCCTACAAAAAATGTATAACGTACATTGGAGTATAAAAAGAATTCAATGGTCGATTTGTGCAAGTTTATATTAAAATTTAATTTTAATGTAATACCATTTAAATAGTGATTTTAAAGGAATTATTACCATATGATTAATACAATGTGAAAAAAGCAATTACCTAAAAGAGAGTTCAGACGTTCAAGCACACTATCGTCTGCTAAAGAGATTTCGTCTACTAAAAAGAAGCCTCCATTTTTCATGGATGTCACTAGAGGACCATCAACCCACTCAAACAATTTTTGATTTTCTTTACGCTGTCTAACTGGACGAAGACTTCCAAGGAAATCTGATGCCTCTGTATGCATGTGGCAGTTAACAATACTCAGTTCTTGTTGTCTAATCACAGACAAAAGTTGACAGACTGTAGTTTTGCCACCTCCTGTTTCACCAATCAAGAGGACTGGTTCTTTGAAGTCACAGGCCTTTGAAAGAAGTACTGCCATTTTACGCATTTGAAACGTCCAGACTACATGTTCAAATCCTGGAATCTTCTTCGACAGAAGAGCTTCCAAAATCGGCCTAGTTACAGTAGAAGTCTTCTCAGAAAGTGAAAATAGAGCATCTGGAAGAATATCTCTCTTCAGATGTTTTTTCAAGACCTGTATGATTTCCAAGCATTCTTCTGGATGACGAACTTTTGAAGACAAAACCAAGTAACCCTCATCAGCTAGATGTTGACTCCAATCATACAAAGTGCCTTTAATTTCAGGTGCAAGGTGATATCTTTCAGCCCAACGAAATAGATCTCTAAGAGTTATAAATCCTTTCTTTCCAGCAAAAGTTGCAGTACTCTTTCTTCTTATTTGAAGTTCTGTCATCACGTTAATTACCTGTTTACAATATGACTCTGGCATTTTACATCTTTTCTGCAATATTACTTGAAGTTCCTTCGGTGGAATTTCATCAAAATGTAGCTCAACAAATCTGTTTCTAAATGCACGTGATAGTACCTTTCTTCCTCCATATAAACCAGGAGGATTCTGAGTAGCAAAGAGCATGAAATTATCATGTGCTTTAACAACTTGTTGTGTTTCTGGAATGAACAACTCTCTATTGTCATCAAGGACTCTGTTTAAAGCTTCTAAAACATCGCTAGGTGCCAAATTCAACTCGTCCAAAATTATCCAGTATCCTTTCCTCATAGCATCCACTAAAATACCCTCTTTAAAAACTAACTTTCCTGAAGAATCAGCTACGTAAGTACCGACGTATTCCTGCAGGTCTGTATGTTCATGATTATTAATTCTGACACAGATATGTCCCGAGGCCTTTGCCAGGTATGTAATTAAACTGGTTTTTCCAACAGAAGTATCACCTTGTAGTAATACAGGCATCTTTCCTATGGATACTACTCGTACTAAGTCTTTCAAATTTTGTTTCACTGTTTCTGTGAGAACATAATTGTCTGGTACTTGTGGCTCAAGATCACCTTTAGGTATCCAATATCCCTCAAAGCACATAAAACTTTCTACAGGACCACCACGCGGCCTTGGAATCGCGGTTCCAATAACAGCACTTGCATTTTTTTCTCCTATCATAGCTTTTACAATCATTCTTTGCACCAATGGATAGGAGTTACTATCTAACTGTGTCAAAAAACTTAAACAAAATGCTTCATATAATGATCTTAATGCACTTCCACAAGGATTTTGTGCAGACACACTTAGAGCACGACATAATGTCCTTAAACTATAATGTGGTTTATGTCCAGTTCCATCAAGAAGACTAGTTTCTGCCTCATTCCTTACATTCAAGTAAAATTTAACTATGTTTCGGATTTTCTCTGGAGAAAGGTTTAAATCCTTCAAGTATGAGTTGACTAGAAGTTCTAAATCTGATTTCTCTGTAAGTTCATCAACAAAGAATTCTGTAAATCTATTTCTTAGTCCTATGGGAAGATCCTTTTTTCCAATATCTGTTGCAGGGTTCATACAAGCAAAAATTGCAAAATCTTCGTGTCTTTTGATTGGTTCTTTGTCTCCACGCTCTAACAAAGATAAAGATCCACGGGATCCTTCCAATAAACCAGAAAGGCATTCTAAAGTCTCTGCAGTAGCCAAATTAATCTCATCTAATAAGACCCAATCTCCATTCTTCAGTGCTTTCACTAGACTACCCTCAACAAAAGAAAATGCTAATGAATATTGACTTTGTACTTGGGACTGAAGTTTCTCCAACTTCTGTGCCATTTTTTCCCATTTTTTTAAAAGTTCTACTTCAGTTTGCCTGTTTGTAGATGACTTTAATCTTTTCAAGGCAGCACTAGTACTATGAATCATTAAAGTAGTCAGTGTTTTCCACTTTCTTTCTTCAAAACACCGTCCGATATGGTTCAAAAATTTTTGATTAGGTTCAATTGCAAAATAAGATCGAAACAGTATTTCAAATTCTTCACGAATTGGAAGAATTAGAAGTTTAAGGTCTACTGGTTTATATCCACCAAGCAAATCTGTGCTTTCACTCTGTTGGTTCATATTTATTACTATCAACTTATGACCTGTTATCTGTGCAAGGTATTGAACACAACTTGTTTTTCCTGTTCCAGTCTCTCCAACTAGAAGAACAGGCTCCTTTTGAATAACACAAGTAGCTATCCGTTCCAGCAGACATACAGATGGCCTTGTGTAAGAAAAATTTGAATTTTTTGATTCTAATTTAACTCTGTCAGACTTTTTTATTTGTAATGTCGCTCTGCCGACAGTAAGACATTGTTTGTGAAAATCCACTGATGGTTTATGTACTGCACAAAAAAATTCTGCTTTCGTTTTTATAATACCCAATTTAAGTGCTACTGCTATTGCCAAATTTAATTGTTGCACTGAAATGAGTAAAATAGATAGATAAATTAATTGTTACCACTAAAAAGGATTGTAAAATAAATTAGGTACACTATTTTTCAGTTCATGAACATTGAACAGTAAAGAGAAGAAATAAGTATTTCTAATGGAATATGTTACATACCAGAATTAGGCACAGAGCAGCAGAAGACATCCAAAGCATCTTGAAAGATTTTCAATGCTGATGTCGGTGATGATACATCAAAATCAACTATAGCTCTAGAACACCACTTAACTAAATCCCTTGTAGAAATTTGTCTAGCATTTTTTATATGATTCACAACATCATCTTCATGATTTCCAGCAGAGAATAACAAAAATACATCAACCATTCTTGTAGCTATTGTATGTAATATTGGAAATAAAGTCTGAACAATTGTTGCAAGTTCTTCTCTTGATAAGGATTCTACATTAACACAAGCCCAATGTTTCTGTAATGGCATTTGGAGTGGTTTCTGTGCTCCTCCAGAAGTTAATCTTCTGGTAACAAACAACTGAAATCCACTTTTTACATGTATTGAATCCCTATATCCTGGAACTGACAATGTTTTTGTTTCCACAAGTTGTCCTATAACACTGATAACATCGGTTGCGGCACAATCAATGTCTTCCAACAGCAACCATTTACCAGACAATACAGCTTCTGTCAATATTCCCGGTTGCCACAAAAATTCTCCAGGAATATCAGTACATCTGTACATCCCTAATAACATCTTAGAATCTGTTTGATCACCTAATTGTACTTTCACAAAGTTTACAACGTCATGGCCTGTAGCTTGTGCTAAATATTCTACTAGTGCAGTTTTTCCTGAACCAACTGCACCTTGTAAATACACACATTTATTAGAAGATACTGCAAAAGCTAAATTTTGCAAATTTCTCCGTGTAGATGGTACTGGAACCAAATTTAGTGTACTTTTCACTTTTGATTTTGTAAAAATTGGAAGTAAAATATCTCCAATAGATACTACTGAAGGTACATCAAGTATATGATCTATTCCTTTGGTATCTTCAGATGTTATACTGCTTTGAATAACTTCCTTGTATTCAATAGAAAATTGTTGAATATTTGAAAGAAAATCACCTGCATTGGATATAAATTAAAAACAAAACAAGAAAGAATATAATTTAATTTTGTATATCTTACCATCTAACACCTTCATCTTTATGAGTTAAATATTTGTAAAATTTAGACCAATTCCATGTGTACTTAAAGTGCATTGGTGCACTACATAGAATGTCATAAGAAGCAGATACTAAATCATAATCAGATACTTCCATTAAAGATGCTACTTTCCGTTTGTTATGCCTTTTTGAAGAAGGACTATAATCAACTTCTATAGATTCAAATGGAGCTGGATTTACATCAAAATAATATAGGACGAATCTGTAATAAAGTAATATTCAACCACATAGTAATGTTGTCATTTAAATATTTAATTATAATTTGTTATCTTTAATTTTTATTTAACTATTCCCTTATTTTCATAGGAAGTGTAATTGAAATTAAATTATTTTAATTACATTGTAATTTTCATATATAATTCCACAAATAATGATGACTACATTAATAAAATATATGTTAACACTACTGTTATAATGTTTTTTAACATATAAACTACATTTTTTATATATAATAATCAGGTAATAAGAAATACAAAAATGTTATATTTAAATTTACATGCTTATAAATAGAAGTAACTAAACTTATATATTTATAAGATAGGAAAGAGTTACTTGTCTGTGCTATATTAATAATACTTCTAAGAAACGAACACAGAGTATCGTTTCACAAAAAGTTTTAATTCTTTCTAAATATATTTTACATTCATTATACATTTTAGCAATGGATAAGTTTAAATTTGAGTAATAAAAGAAATATAATACAATGTAGAATGTTAGAAAAAGACTGTTTCCTTTGCATGAATTTCTCCAGGCTGCCACATTGAACCTAAAATATTGTGGAATATGGAAAAATTGCAAAATGGAACAAAATATTACTTAATGTAAGGCATGCTTTTGTTGATATAAAATTCATGGCAGTAGTTTTTGCTATATAAGAATATTATTACATGGTGTAGTTTATAATACAAGAAAAATAATTAAAAAATACAAAATTAATATAAAATACTATACATAATAAAGAAGAATACATACACTAAGAAGTCTTTATTCTTACAAAGTAGTTTCCCCAAAATAACAGAATTCAATTTATGAAGTGCATCTCCATCATTGAAAGAAATTTTATCAGTGGAAATGCTTGTAGAAATTAATGCTGGTAATAGCTGTGGAAAACATTCAGCCACATCTTCTGTAGATTTTGGATTCATCAAGAATTCACACAAAATATCTGAAATTCTATCATATTCATTCTTGTCTGGTTCCTATAACAAAATCATATAAAGTTACATGTGACATATTCTCAAATTACCAAACTGTAACAACTTAATTTAACACATTTCCTGAAATATATTATGTTTAAATATTCTAAAAATAAAATATGCAACTTAATAAGTTATTTTATTAATGAGGAAATTTAAAAGCTAATGTAACTGATATACAACAAAGATTTTGTATCCTTTTTAAAAGTTGTGCTTTATGAATGAAATGTAAGATATGATTAATTAGCGCAATATTAATTAATAAATTAAATAAATTAATTTAAAAAAGCCGCATGCACGTTATACTTACACACAGTCTTGAGACATTACTTTTTATCACTTTTAATATATTACAATTGCGTGAAAATAATATTAATAGAACTTATCATTAAGAATAATAACGAGCAAGAGAATAAAACTACAATTTATGAAATAAAAATAAGTAATAGCAGAGTAAACGAATATTAAACAAATCTTTAATTAGTGTTTACAAATTCAAAGCAAATATTTCAAATATTTCAAATATTTCAAAAGAAAATATCTTATTTACCTTATCAATACTGAAGGATGCAAATTTCTGAGCATAATTCTCGCTTCTTTCAACAAAAGCTGTCAAACTTTGTAAAAACATATTTGAAAAACTAGGAACCGAATTGCACGTGCAATTGGAATGGATGTTGAAATCAATGCTTAAGGAACCACGTGCTTTTGACGGTTACATCCGAAGTTAGTACTAAAAGTGTACAATTTCTTCATTGTGTACCAAAAAATCCCTACAATACAAGCAATCACATGTCATTCAAATTTTTACGCAACTAATTGAGAATTTTTAACGGGGTTGCTATCCATGGAGTGCTACAGGCTCTTTTATTTCCAAAATATTACGTCTAGACTTTGAGCGGAGAAAGAATAATTAAGCATGAACTGAAACGGTTCAAGCATGGTCGATACGCAGTATTCGTTGTTAATATGTTTTTCTTAAATAATACACTCCAATTAAATGAATTGTTTTACATCTCAGCAATATTTCTTTGCGTAGAATAAATGTTTACTTTAACGAAGAGTTACAAATAGTAGTCAATAATAGTTTACAATATATGTTATCGAGTTTCTTTGTTCATTGCTTCGACCACACATCTATATAATTTATATTTGGCGCATTTAGAATACACACTACGGGGAGCCACATGAGCTATATAACAAAATCACATAGAATTTTTACTACATAGAAATTCATAAAAATCTGTTTACCGCCTTGCAGAAAAATATATATATGTATTTCTATCAAAATTGCAAACTTAAATAATATAAATTTTTACAACTTACATCTTTTGCATTCATTTTAATAAATGTGAAATATGCATTTGCATTTCGTAACGTTAAAATTGTTTCATTTAAGTAACAATAAAATAATCATGCAAGTGTTTTGTAATAACTATGGAGTAATACATAAAAATTTTTAATTGAGCTTTGCAAAGTCGCAAATATGTGTACATGTCAGTACTCCCAATATTCAAATTAACTCTATTCAGAATATTTATATAAAACGTATATTACACTAAATTCTATAATTTTGCAAAAATTAATTTTATGCTTTTTAATTTTTTTTATAAAA